TTTCAAAATGATATAATAAATGATCTGTGGAGTATTTTGAGCTGAAACTTCACAGACGCATTCTGGGGACACCAGAGACTTATATTACATATTGTAAAAAGGGGCATAATATGTCTCCTTTAAAATAAAATGTATTTCTGTGATGCAAAGCTGATTTTTCATCATTACTCCAGTCTTCAGTGTCACATGATCCTTCAGAAATCATTCTAATATGCTGATTTATTATCAGTGTTGGAAACAGTTGTGCTGCTTAATATTTTTTTTGGAACCTGTGATACTTTTTTCAGGATTATTTGATGAATAAAGTTAAAAATGTATTCAAAATAGAAATCTTTTCTAGCAATATAAGCCTTATTAAAACTTTTTTATAATTTTAACACATCCTTGCTGAATAAAAGCATTAACTTCTTTAAAAAAAAAAAAAGAAAAAAAATGTCTGACCCCACACCTTTGAATGTTAGTGTATGCTGTGTATATTGTTACAAAATATTTCTATTTTGAATAAATGCTGTTCTTTTTTACTTTTCATTCATTAAAGAATATGGTGAAGCTGAATTTTCAGCAGCCGTTACTCCAGTCTTCAATATCACATGATCCTTCAGAAAATTATTACAGATGAAAAGAGTTGCGCTTCTTAATATTGTTGTTGAAACTGTGATGCTTTTTTCAGGATTGTTTGATTAATAGAAAATTCAAACTACAGCATTTATTTAAAGCTAAAATAATTTGTAACATATTGCAAATGTCTTTACTGTCACTTTTGAGCAATTAATGCATCCTTGCTTAAAGAAAAAAGAAGTTGAGATCTTTTTTTTTTTTTTCTCACGCGCAAAATGCACCACAGTGTGACATATCTGAGTATGCTCGTCCAATAGGCCACATCTCTGACAAGATGTTTGTTGTTTTCTTTTTGACCAGTGGCCACAGTGTGGTGTCATTTGATATCATCCAGTCCAGTTGCATCTTTTAAAAGATCAATGCTTGTCATTATAGAGTGATCATAGAGCGGATGTGGGTCAGTAGAGTGTTGTAGGACCTTTGATGAACTTGTATCGTTCTAATCAATACAGAGAGTCAACATGCAATATTAGCTGAAATGGTAGCTTTTCCATAAATTTATCTTTACTCTATCTTTACCATACAGCTACTGAGGAAGAAGAACAAAAGTCTTTCTCCTTGACTGACAAAGTGTCTCTGTACAAAGGTGACATTACCATCTTGGAGCTGGATGCCATAGTGAATGCTGGTGAGTTTGCTGTTTCTGATCAGTTGCAGTTTTAAAGCTAAATTACCTTAGCAAGGCAATTAGTGCACAAGTGTGGCACTGTGATTTTCATGTTTTTTTTTAATGCTATGTGTTAATGTTTACTTTTACTCCTGCTGGATGTTTTGTATAGTCTAGGATCCACTTTGCACTTGTTGTGCTTGCCTGACCTCTGGTGTCTGTAAATGGTACAGGCATGACAATTTTTTCCCCTTGTTTATTCTGATGCATTTTACAGGACAGATGAGATTTCTGCTTATGTATATTTATGTCTTTGCAGTGTGTTTTCTCTCCACAGTCCATTTTGCTGTTTATTTTTTGTTTTGATATGCCGTGAATGTTCTTTCACAGGGATGATTCTATTCCTATTCAGAATGAAACAGGATGCCAAGGAACAAACTTGTAAAATGGTTTCTTTTTCTTTTGTTTACAGAGTGAAATGGTATTATCTGTCTCACTGGCTTGTTGATTGTCTTGTTGTCATGTTGCAGTGATAAAAAAAAAAAATATTTATTTGTTCCTATTATTGCCTCTTTAGTGTGGGGGCTGTTTTAAATATGTCTGTTCTGAAGCAAAAGCAGTGGTTTTATTGTAGACATTCTGCAAAAATAGGCATATGTTAACTGGGTTCCACTGTGGTGAGAGCAGACAGATAACACTGTCATGGTTTACCTCAAGTCATGGAAACCTGGCAAGAAAGAGAGAAAATTGTGGTAACCCGATGTAAGTACTCAGTTAAGCATTTAGTATATATTGTGTGGGAGATTGTCGTTGATTAGACATGTTCTTGATTCAAGATGTTTATCTCAGTGTCATTCATTGAGAGGAATAGTTTAACATTCCTGCCACAGAGAGTGATTGCAGTTCATGTCCGAAATGTTTGACAAAAGCATCCGTGAAATGTGATCTTTGCTGGACCAACAAATGGAAACTCTTAACAGCTGTGTTGTGCTCTGCTTACAACAACTACAAAAATGTGTTTCGTGAATGATTGAGGTTCTCAACATAGTTCAGGCATTATGCGGCCTAATTGAAGTAACAATGCCTGTGAGCTTTGGGATATTTAGACTAATTTAAACCTTCTGTTGAGTTTACTGCTGTTCTGTGAGCCGTGAACCTTGCAAACTAGTAGAATCATTATCACTTGACTGGAGCTTGTCTGAGTTTCACATTTCCGTAATGTGTATTTACTCTCACATACTAGGTTATTTCTACAGTTTCCTTAGTGTGATGTAGGGCTGCAGGCTGATATAGCAAAATATGACGTATGATTTTCAGTAAACAATAAATGTATATTTTAATGCATGTTTATTTATTTTTTATTTATTTGATAGGGACAATGCATGTTAATGAACATTTGTAGTAATACAGAATGTAAACAAGCCGGATTATAGCAACATTTCTAATTTACATCTGCAGTCCCTAGGCAGGTACACACAAGGACACAGACTCATATACACATACAACAGTACATTTTATTACTCATTTGTTATGTATATAGATATATATTCAATTTCATACACACATATACATGACTTGCCTGTTGGAACAGTACTTTTAAAGTTAAGCTTTTTTTTTTTTTTTTTTACCTAATGTCAATATGACTGTGCATCATTCAGGCTGTAGGCTAAGTCTTAGGAAGCTATAAGGCAACTCAAGAATTCATATTAACAGAGAAAGAAGAAAAACAGATAAAAAAAAAACTTTGTCCTTCTTTGCATTGTAAAGTTTTTGTTTACAAGACAGCTTCCCCTCTGAAACTTTCTGCAAGGTTGCTGTAAGGTCAGTCAACATAGAAAACAGGAAATAAGAGAACAGGCTGAATGGGACGCTGGTCTAATCTCGGTGTCTGATGCAATCATACAGATGTGAAACTGGAGCAGTAAGCAAAATTAATCAAAATTAATCACATGTTTGATTGCAGTGTGGTTGAGCTTCTCTCAGTGCTTATTTCAGCAAGTTTGTTGGCACATTCTTCACATCAGTTGTTGCATAAAAATAACGTGAAACCAAACACCGTAGGGTTTGTGGCATTGAATTAGGAAAGTAATTGGTTTAAAGGCTTTAGAGTATGAGGGAGATGACTTATCATGCAGACGGGTGGCTGTTCATCCATCAAAAGCCAGCGGCTCAGGCCAGGAAAGTAATCGCATTATTGCAACAGTGCTCTGGACTGATTCTTAAAGCCCCATTTGCTCCAGTGTTTTTACGTTTAGATTCCTGGAATGATGTTTCCATCTCAAAGCTATAATACGGTGATAAGAACAATCAGAAAGCATCTCTGTGATTGCGGGGAACTGTCCGTTTCCAGTAGTTCTGCTGAAAATGTTTACAGCATTATGCTCTTAGGAAAAAAAAAACAGTTGCTGATGTTAAACATGCTATGAATTTTTGTAATCATAAAAGTGTTTTATTCTGCTCAGCGGATTTAGATTCAATTCAAGTCCTCCTCAAATTTTGTTTGAATATCTAATTTCACTCAGAAATATGTCAGGTTACATAACAAAATGGCTTGTAAACACTTACTTTAATCCAACTAACTATTGCATTGGACTGGAAAAGTGAGATCTGGGATGAATTGAGCTAATTGTGTGGCAGACATTTTGCCTGTTTTGTCCCCACTGTAAGTCTCAACACCATCCCGTGTCCTTCCCCTCTGAACAGTCATTGGCTGTGTCCAAAATCACATACCTTCTGTGAAGGTTACTTGTTTTGAGTAAGAAATTATGTCCATTTGCAACCGTTAAAGAAGTTTATTCTACACAGTGTGAATGTGTGTAGTCTAAATGTAATCTGGACGTACTACATTGGCCATGTTGTTATTGTCATGAACGCGATATTGCCTAATTGTCAGTGAACTACAGCTCTGTGTAGTAAATCTGTCTCCTGGCCCTCACAGAAAAAAAACAACGTCTTAAAAAATCCAAGAAAGGAGTGAAACTGACTGATTATCATGGTTCTTCTCCTAATCATGCAGAGAGGTTGACGCAAGAGCCGCCCGGCCATTGTAGAGTTTTTATTATTTTTTTTTTTCTCTTTCGATAATAATAGTTTTTACTCCTCTCTGCCGCTTTTATTGCATCAGAATCAGAATGAGCTTGTAGCGTTGAGGAATATTACTGTAATAAAGAAACCTCTTGAGGCTTTTGCTCAAAAAGTCTTCTTCAGATCATGTAATATTATTATATTCCATAACTTGAGTTTGAGGACTTTATTAGTGACCAGAAGTGAGAAGGATTAATTCATTTGGGGTTTATGTTCTCTCTCTGTATTTGAAAGGTGTGACCGCTGTTATGTGTAATTCTTATATATATTGCTCTTTTTCATTTATTAACCAGAAAAACATGGGAAAAGGCCAAAAAAGCACCATATAATTGGTCCATACAACAACTTCTGAAGTCATACAAGCTTTAAGTTGTTCTTCACTGAAAAACATTATTGAATGGCTTCAGAATGACAGACTTTTTGGGAGAATTGTTCCAAATGAGACCGAGTGGTGATTGCAGAGTCTGTGTATATAGTGAATACCAAGACTGTTCACTCATATTACTACAAATGGGAGAAACTACAATGTGCAATATGGCAGAATAATTCCCGCCTTGTAAATAAAAGAGCCAATAGCCAATTGACCATTCGCAAAGACCCGTTACTGTTACGTAGTTACTGTTGCTATGTCACACATCATGTTTTCAAAGTGAAAAATACATTACGGAGCAAAGAGGACACTGACAACACGTTGACAGATAAGACAGAGCAGGTTACTTTTGGTAAGTCTCAGCTTTCAAATTTAGTCTTTTTTTTTTTTTTAATTCAAACAATAAATACAGTTTTGTGGCTCTTTAATGTGTTGTGACAGCTGTAGCGCCTCAGTTCAAGCAGCATGTGTACCAAACATCTCTTCCTCTTTACTAGTTATAGCATGAAATAAAGATGAATGAACATCAGAATGTATCTTTTTTTCAACTGTGGAAAGATGTCAATACACACCATTTTTCAAGTTCAAGTCCACCGATGGTAATCTACTCTCCTGTCTGGTTTGTTTGTTGGACAAAATGGCAGATTCGGCATTATGATTGGTCAGATCGCCTGTAAATCAAATTCCCTGAGAAGGGTCAATTGATAATGTCATTCTGATACTGCAGCTGCCTTTAGATGCTCCGGTTCCCATAGAAACAGTTAGTGTCCTGTACTCAGATTTAGGGCTGGGCAAAAAAAAAATCTATTTTTCGATTAATCGTTTTTTTTTAAATGACGTTGATTCGATATCGATTCTCTAAAGCCGCGAATCAGCCTTTTCCGGGATTTATTTCAGCACACATTTAAAATAAGATCTGATTAACGTGAATCTTATCATTAGTCTTCTCCACTAGATGTCACCCTTATTTACCTTGCGCGATGTTACAACAGAAAGCCTGTCATTCATTCAGCGCTTATCATGGCCATACGCGTGATTCCCAATGCTCCCGTGAAATGCTATAGTAATACTATAAATCTGCGGAAGCATTTGATATCACGCATGAGGCGCCATGATATCCGCAATGATTAACAAGTAATCTGAACGGCCTATATATGTGCAATATTTTAACCGAGCCCTCACTAACTGAGTTTAATGCAACAGTTATGTTAGAACGCATCTCATGGGGCGCGGTCAGGAGCGCTGTATGACTGATGTATATGTTTAATTTAAATTTACTCCAAATATATGAACTTACCCGTTTTAAATACTTTATATTTAACGTGTTCGTTTATGTCCAATATTTAGTGTTAAACTGTTGGTCTTTAAAATAAATCTACTTTTGATTTTCCCCGTTGATTGATTTTGCAGACCAGACTGATAACTTCCGTGCGTCGATGTGGCAAACTTGTCATTGTATCCGAATATATATGAGCTAGCGGTTTTAAATATTTTTGTATTTAACATGTTAGTTTATCAGCATGTTTGAAAGTATATTATTTAGATTTGTGGTGCTTCCATAGGCTCCCTCTCTTTCGCGTGCGCGTGGTTTAAAACAACAAA